ATATCAGTTACTCAAAATCCCCTATTTGACTTATTTTCATGCTATGCAAAGATTGCTGAGTGATTCAGTTAGCATGATTCAAAAATTAATGTCATTAAGTCGAGTCTGAAGTGACAAAGTACTTTTCTTTTTTTTTTTCTTTTTTTTTCATGTAAAATAGCATATTGTGACCGAACAAAGGAAACTGGATGCAGGCAAATTGTATACTGTACAAGTGACACTTGATAGATTAAAATGGGGATATTTGTACTACTTCAGAATCTGTCATTCCCTCCTTGTTCCCATCACCTAGTTTCCACCTGAGCACAAGTCCCCAACTCATTAATCAGCTCCCTGTTATTTTGCATGTGCCCTATAGCCACAACTCCTTGTCTGTTGTGCTGCCTCAGCTATACTGCAGCATTCTTGTTGACTTGTTTTCCTGCAGCTTGTTTTTGTCCTTTGCTTGCCCTTTTAAGTTTCTGTCTGCTTTTGAACAACGTTGCCTGTTCTGGCTGACTGCCCTTTTGTTGACATCTTCCATGGTTTTTTTGGGGGGTTTTTTGTTTTGTTTTGTTTTGTTTTGTTTTTTGGGGGTTTTTTTTGACCACATAAGCCTTCCCTTTACCTGCTGAGCCATGCCAAAGATTTTTAAAACTGAACTGTGGTGAACAGCAGACTGATAAAAATGAAAACTGTTGAAAGCACCCATTAATTTAACCCCATTTGTACTCTGATATTTCTAAATATCCATCCATCCATCCACACATTCTCTTCCACTTATCCTTATCAGGGTTGCGAGGGGGCTAGAGCCTATCCCAGCTAACATAGGACAAGAAGCACGGTACACCCTGGACAGGTCACCAGCCTGATGCAGAGCTGACACAGAGAGAAAGACAACCATTCACACTCACATTCACACCTATGGGCAATTTAGATTCACTAAATATTTCTAAATACTTTGCAGAAAAAGCATTGGCTTTTTTCAAAATTGTTACTGCCTTATTTACTCCCTTGGTATGCTGATATTTTATCTCCATTAACAAGCAGCCAGTTTTCTAGCAGTAAATCTAGCAATCTCAAAGCATTTCTATAAGCCCTGAAGGAAACAAGCTAGCAACACAGTAGCACTTTCTATAGAGAAGTAAGGAATATCCTGAGAGTTTTCTGAATCATTTGTGTCAAACTCTGATAAGGAGGGCTGTTCAACCCGAAAGCATGGTTGTTCAAAGGAAATTGAATCTATTTGACTACTTTGGAATATGTGGTCCTTGAAATATTACATTTGTCATGAGCAAATCAAGCTTGAAATTAAATTTGGTCAGCTCCAATACCACAAAGAGTGGGCAATAGGAGAGGCGAGTATGCTACATATGGTCTGGATTAATCCTAATCCCCAGTTTTATAAAACAATTCACTTTTAAAACTTGTAGGAGTTAAGTTTGTTTTTTATACTCAAGATCCCTCCCTTTAGATGTGCTTGATGTAGTGAGCTCAGTATGTGCAGTGAGGCTGTGTGAAGCTTGCTGGGTCTTGGGTACAATACTGTTACCTTTTGTCCTCAAGGGGATCCACAGATAATCACTAGGTCACTGTAATGGCAGCGTCTGATCTATCTGGTCTTTCTTCTTCTTCACAGCAACATTGGCAGAGTGCATAGACAAGAGACAAGCTTCTGTCTCCCACAACAACATGAAGCTTTACCAGCTTTTAAAAGCAGCAGTGAAATCCTCTTTCATATTTACACCTAAAAAAGGTTGGATGAGATTGCTATCTTATCGCAGCCAATACCTCTCTTTCTCACTTCAGACGCCCACAAGCGTGGACGGAGACATAACCACTCGGCCAATCTTCAATCCTTTGTATAGAAAGTGTATTTGTATTTTATCCAAGATGATATCATCCCCCTGAGACAATCAATTTATAGAGAGATTCAATGCTGTGCACAATCCATAACAATGGGGAGCACACTGCTATCATTACTACAAAAATACACAAGTGCACTGTAATTTAAAAAAAAAAAAAAGTGGAGAAAAAAACAAAGCAAAATGATTGACTAAAGGGTTAGGAACTTGTCAGATATGTACACAGAATTAACTCTCACATTAGCTCTCTCAGTGGCAGCTTCTGTCACTTGCAGTTTTCCCTTGATGCTCAAACGCCAGGAAGAACCTCCAACTGTTTATTTTCAGTCAAAGGCCCTGTGTGCCTTTGGTGTCAAGCAGGCAATCAAAAGCATGGGTATTATAGTCTGTCTGCCCATCTGTGTGAACCATCTGTAACATCAAATTCACCCTGCATTAGCATTCTAACTCCTGCCGTGGTTTGGCTCTGAATTACAGGGTGCTTTCTCTCATATAAAGTAATAGCATAGCATTAGTAAAAAAAAAAAAAAGAAATTAAAGAAATTAAAACGGGGTATTAATTGAGTTTTGGCCACTTGGAAGCAGTAGAAAAATCTGTGGCACAACACTGATATGGACTGAAGTGTCTCAAATGGCCACTTGAGGCCCGAAATATGAGGTAATGCTCTTAGAGGCCCCACCCAAGTGGAAATGCAAAATGTTGAAATAAACATATTTGCAGTTAATTTAACAGAAAAACCTCAATTTGTGAAAACAGACAGATGGTGAACTTTGATAAAAATTCACTCCTTTTAAATTTTATGACTTCATTATAATAGATAATGAAGTCTGTGGTTACCTAAGTAGCTAACTCATGAATTCAGTGTCATCTTATCGTGGCAAAACAAACAAACAAACCGACAGAAAATTAAACAGGAGATTGTTTTTTAAGGTCATTCTTCGTTTTTTACCTTGCAAATGGCACCCATTCACTCTTTAACCTCTGTTTTGGGTCTCCACAGACCCCTGAGAGAACTATAAAGACCTTAAATTTTACCTTCTTTATCCTGAACTTAGCTTGGCTAACCCTGGGCATGTGTGTTTTTTCGTTCTTAGGATGATTTTTTTTTTTTTGTGTGTGTTTAAAAGCTTTTTGAACAACTGCACAGTGTGGGATGTCAGGCTACAAAAATAAATGTGACCTAAGGCAGCTCTGGATAATGTCTCTTCAAAGTGAGGCATACAGTGTAAACAGCATATTTACTCCCACAAAGTTGTTTTTCGTAGCCTACAAAGCCAAACTATCCCAACATGCTTTTTTAGGCATTTGATTACACTGTTAGCAGATTTTACAGGATATAATGCTCTCTGTTTCCAAAAAGTCTGTTTGAAGCATTCAAAAACCAGTTTTCCCTAGTTCATAAATGTACCATTTAGTAAAGAAATTGAGAAAAATACTGCAGATCTGAAGCCAACAGAAGTGCAGTCATGTTTCAAACGTATCCTAACTTACAATTCATCTGAGTATCCCTTTGTTGTGTGAAGAGTTGATGTAAGTCATCTGATTGACCAAACCCTGGCTCACTGCTATATATTGCTTCAAGTGTAAAACTCACTCATTCTGAATGTCAGGTTCCAATTTAGTTTATGTCAAGGTTATTAACTCTCAACTGGAATATGTCCAGAGTTCGTTCATTCTGTGTGGGTGCTGCCTGCACTAAGTATGACATCCTGTACATGTAGCACATGTTGAAAAAGACTTATCAGAAAGGAGTCAGCAGGCAGGAGTCAATCTGAAAACACCAGCACACAGATGCAGAAAGGGATTCCTTAACATTGATTAAAAACCATGAAAATTCTGCTGTGGTTTATAACACTGGACAATTTTATGAGTCCTAAAAATTATACTATCAGAAATATAGAGACTGTGCAGTAAGGTAAATTTATGAGAGCTCAATTTTATGACTGCAGGCATTGTTTTTCTCACCATAGCTGAGCTCTGCACAGAGGATAACCATCCACAGGCTCGACTTGAGTTTTAGTTCTAGCTGTCTATGTGTCAGCGTTAGTTAAATGTTCTTCTGATTCTTCAGAGACTCGAACAGTGCGGCCTGACAGGAGGTGACCAGTGACCTTCCCGTACACACGACGATCCTACTTCACAAGAACAGCCTCTCTAACTTTGGAAGGACATGACAGCCTCTTGCTGTGCTTTGGTTGGATCAGTTTCACAAATGACACATATCACATCATTACTGGGGCGGCTGCAGTTGGGGCGGCAGAGCAGGTCGTCTAGTAATCGGGAAGGTAGGTGGTTTGACCAAAGTATGCTGAACAAGATGCCGAACTCCATTTGCTCCCGATGCGTTCATTGGAGCGTGAAGGTGTGAATGTTTGATAGAGAAAAAAAGTGCTGGTATGATTGTGGGTGTGAATGGGTGAATGTGACTTGTAGCATAAAGCATTTTGAGTGCTCAAGCAAAGTAGAAAATTGCTGTGTGAGAACCAGTCGCTTTACCATCATAGTTTTCAAAAAATAACTAAATCTCCTTTCCTTTTCTGGAAGATGCATGGGCACTCTTTCCTGTGTTTGAGTTTGTTTTTCTAGTGCTGATGCACATTCACCGTGCTGTCTTTGACTCTGCTAATCTGTCTCTGTTCAGGCGTCCCTTCTCCTTCGTCACGGCATCAATCAAGCAAACAGCAGAGTCCTCAGTTGTGGGTTGTAACTGGTGGTTCACTGACAGTTCAGGAAGCTTATTTCCTCCCAGAGGTGACATACACTGTAATGTTCTCTCCCATCTCCCATTTCCTTCTGTTGATGAGTTTCCATCTAAGCCTGCAGCAGCAGAAACAAAGACAGCTTCACTCCACATATCTTCATCTAAACCTGGGTTACTACGGCTGATGATGCTGAATCCTCAAGTCAAGCATTTAAACCTTAATTTGATAAAAACATCATTCAACACATAAAATCCATGCTCTATAAATATCTTTTTATTTTTTTCACCTGCTAATTTTCTTGGCATTTTTCAAAAGCCAAGTATGTTTCCTCAAAATGTTCCTCTACAGATCTAACAAGTGAACCCTAAGTGGCATAATGGCCATAAATGGTCCTCCATTACATTCAGCAACTTCAGAAACTCTGCACCCTTTTCATCCTCATTAAAGCAGCTTCTGAAAGGGATGATGAATATCATCAAAACAATTTTATGTCTGGTCCCCCGCGGAAAAGATGAAGCCCTTCCTTGTGAACTCAAAGCACAAACATCAGAGGCCAGCTAGATTTTCTTTTCATCCTCATAATGCAACTTGGTCAGACTTTAATATTTGATGCCAACTGAAATGTGACTATTGTTGTCCAAAGAACACATAAAGCAGTAACGATGCTTAGAATAAAAGCTTGGTAATATGTTCAGCAGCTGTGTGGCCATGACAGTTTCCCCCCTTTCAAAACCATAATAATGAGCTTCAACATCTACAGCAGTGCCATGAGGGATTTTACAATAAAGTGTTTTTCACGTTGTTTTATGTTTATGACCAGCTATTGATATGTTGTCCATTTTTAGAGGGCGGCTCATTGTTTCTACACAAAATAACAAACAGTAAATCGTGAACAGAGGGCTTATGTTGGACAGTGCATTTTTCAGGCAATCAGTCAGCATTAAAAAAAATGATGAGAAAAATGACTCCAAATGTTACACTTCTTCTCATCCTCTTCATCTTGTTGGGGGAAATAAGGCCATATTATTAGCACCACTGTTAACAGTTTTATGAGTATTTAAACTCACTAATAATTAAATACTCCTGCATTTCCTTGGTAACATGGTACACAGTATTGCACTTCCAAATTTTGCTTTATTTGGCCAAAAGAGGTTGATATTCAGTCTTCTACTCAGAATCCCTATTTGGGGTTTTACTTGCAGATGGCACGCTATTATGTTGGTTGTATTTGTGGCTTGAGCCATCCAGTATCCAGAGTTAAGTCTCAAATTACTTGTCTTAGAATTGGCTGGTTAACGCTACACCAAACCTCCACTCAAGTGGACTCATAGATGAATTACCCTGCTGATGAATTGAATCTATGCAGACAACATGTTACCCTTTACCCTATTTCTGTGGACTACTTGTTTGTTCCTACACAGCATATTTTCCTTCCACCATTCATCCATCGCCTTCTGCTTATCAAGTTAAGGGTTCCTGGAGCATGCTGGAGCCTATTCCAGCTACCATAGGGCCATGAGACAGGGTATTCCCCAGACAAGTCGCCAGCCTCCTCCTTTCAAAGAAAAAATCAAACTACCACAGAAAACTCCTATTTTCTGTGAGCGCAGCTGCAGCTGTTCTACTTGGCTGTGTTGGAGATAATGGTATTGTTTCTAGTTGGATTTTATCTGCCTTTTCTGTTGAACACATGTTATTGACATTTCTAGCTATGTCGTAACTAGCCTATTTGAACTTGTTATTTTCTCAGTAATGGCAGATGTGTTCACCACAAGGAGGGGGTCCAATCCAACACAGTCAGCACAGCCATTACATTGTGCCCTCACACAAGAAGTATATGTATTTGGTGTCATACTTAAATACAACGGTGCCTTCCCATGGGCCATAGTTAATAAATCGTTAGTTCATTGATAATTTGAAAAGTAAATATAAAGTTTTTCAGGTGATGTAAGTGAGCTTTTCATGGCAACATAGCACAAAATAAGAATAATATGTCTTTAATAGAAAAGCTGTAGATTCACAACAATGACTTGGAAATAATCTTAGAGAGGGGTTTTGATTTTTTTTTTTTTTACTTTGAGAAGGTGCTTTTTAATTAGCTGTACACATAATCTGCTCCTGAGGGTCTTTTTGGTGATAGTAATTCTTTGGTCACTCATGCAGTTCAATTTTAACTGGCTGAATTTCCTTTGAGGTACACTTTGTGTTAAACTGTCTAGTGGAAAACGAAGACAAAAGGAAAACCCAATGTTGTGAAACATCATCATGAAATATATATAAACGCACACATTTTCATTGATTTAAGGTTGCACTTAAACATTCGTGTGTGTGTGTGTGTGTGTGTGTGTGTGTGTGTGTGTGTGTGTGTGTGTGTGTGTGTGTGTGTGTGTGTGTGTAATTTCATGAAAGAGGATTTAGGAAAAAATGGACAAGGGAGAATTTCAACAAGTCAAGAGTTATGGGCACTAGAATATGCAGAAAGCCCCAGTTAATAATGAATGAAGCACCTTAACTGATGGGCATTGAAATATGGCAGCAACTTTCTCCTCCATCAAGTCCTTGGTTCAATAAACCAGTCATAAAATCCTACTTATATGGACCGCATAAATAGTTTCCAATTCTACTATAAATAATCTCAAAGATGAAACATAGATTAAGCATCACAAATCACAACAGGGAATAAACAGACAAATCTGGATGCTTCTAATAATTTTAAGCTCAAATTATATTCAGACTAAGATGTCAAGTAGAAAAATTTTATTAGAATTTTTACAGAATGTAAAATCATTTTAATTAACCAGTTATTTATATATTAAAGTTTAAAAACAGATACAGATGTGCCCCATCATACAACCAAACCATTACTTGGGCTCATCCCTCCCATACAGCAGCAGCATGAGGGATTCAGTAGTATTGTCATGCAGCTTGACATTCCTTCAATACCATTAGTTGGCTGACTACAGCTGCAGTACAGTAACGGATCCTACACTGGATACTGACTCCGACATGTACAGAAAAAGAAGAGAAAAAACACATTTGTTGTCCCAGGAGGTCTTGGTTTGAATGACATCATACACACAAAAAAAAGGCATTGATTAAAGCCAGGCACCTATTTGTGGGTAAAAGTGTGTGAGGTCTAATTAAAAACAACACTGATTTGAGATTAGAAAAAAAACAATTCTAATTATGCATTACAGTAAAGAATCAAAACCTTACAAAAAATAAAGACTTTGACTAATTAAGAACCCAGAACTGTATACAAATTGGCAGTAACCAGAAACACTGGTTAATTCATGGCATTGAATAAAACAATACATACATATAAACATGAGAACAGTTATTTTACATTAGCAACCTGCTGTAATGCACTTAAAGAAAAAGAGAGAACCTGCTTCCAGAGTGATCACAAAGTAGCTCCAAACACTGATGGGCAGTTTTGCTTTTGTGGTCTCACTGTATGTGAAAAGCCACGTATTAAAGCCCACAAAGAAAGGAGACAAGCTGAACAGTCACCCACCCATGAATGCAGAAAAAAAAGGGAGTAAATTTAAATGTCACTTTACCAAGTAGAAAATTCTTCATTTCACAGGTGTTTTCCCATTCCCATAAATGTATGGCAGCTGCAATTATTTTTTAAAGGGGGAACAAAAAGAAATGCATATTAAAAGGGCCAGATGTATTGGCCAGGCAATTAAGAGTGTGTAAACTCTATGGATATGGTGTTGTTTTTCAAACACTTATCACTTGCAAGACTGATTTCAACTGTTCTTGAAGGTTTTATACGTTAGGAAGGTTTACAAGAAACATTCGAAAACACCTAACAGATGTTATCTCTCTATCCAAATGCAAATTTAAAGGGGCCTCAAAGTTTCGATGCACCCCAAAAGTATATCCCAAAATGTTGATTCTGTTCATCTGGACTTAGCGTCTTCAGTGGGACAAACATTTTGCCAATCATCCAAGTGACTTCTTTAGTCTCAGCTGACTGTAGGATTCCCCAACCCTAAACAGTACATTTGCACAATGACTGAAACCAGCCCACTGAAAAGGGAAAGACCATCTCTGAATTGAGGAGGAGGCCTAAGGGTACATCTTTCACCATCTTACAATGCTGTGGATTGGAGCCATTTCCCAACTCTCTGTGAATGGTACTCAGTGATCAGTGGTTGTTGATCAATGGTCATGACAATTTGCATATTAATGATCAAATAACTAACCTCAGAGTTCATTGTTCATTCGGCGGGCTGGTTTCAATCATTGTGCAAATGTACTGTTTATGAGGTTGGGAAACCTGCAGTCAGCTGACACCGAAAAGGTCACTTGGTTGAGTGATGAAACATTTCTCCCACTAAAAACGCTACACCCAGATGAACAGAATCAACAGGGGGGTCTCAAAGTCCTTTATCAGTTCTTCATCTCATTCCTGGGGTTGTTCAATCAAACTGCTATATAAAAAGGTCCCAACGCTGCACATTTAGTCAATCTGAGATTCGATATATGAAAGTTCCTCAGGGTCAGTAATGTACAACATAGCCCTCAAGAATCACAGTATGACATGCCACATGACATGTTAGTGGGGTTTCCTTATCACTATTGGCAACATTTTTTCAAAAAAAAGAAAAAGAAAAAACAAATCCTGTTTAGTGACCACCACGTCCATTTCCTCTGGGGCACAGTGAGCTGTGATGGGTGCCGGTAGGCAGCAGCTGCAGCAGCAGTGCCTTCGCTACCTGGACACATCTGGGATGAGTCTTTTAAACCACTGGCCCACAGCCACATCTACTCTCAGCACTAATGTGACCCCAATCAGCAGGAACACGCTGCTCACCAGGAACCCTGAGGCCTCAAACATTAACCTGAAAGGACAAAACAGAAGAGACACAAAGGTTTAAACAAGTCCAAATTAAGCTCCAGCAACTCCTTCGGACATATGAGCTGGAAAATCCATTCAGGCACTTACTTCGGTGCGAAAACCTTCCACACCATTAGGTGTCTCCTGAGTATAGCAGCTGCACAGACTGAGGCAAAGACCTGTGAAGTGAGCAGACAGACTGAGTGGTGTGATGTGATACTGCTACTCATAAGTGTAACAGAACTAAATAAAAAATAAAATTAAATAAATTAAAAAAAAGACAAGAAAGAAATGCAACAGAAATCTGCTACTGAGGAAAGACTTTCCCAGCTCACATATGCCTTAAATGGATGTGAGAAAAAAAATAATTCTAGGTCTGTGGACATACCTGTGCTCCGTGAATAAGGAGGTAGCGTGTTGAGAGTTGCAGAAGAGCAGAGCTGAACAGCTGAGGGTTTTCTCTCAGCCTCATCTCCATCACAGCATCCTCTCCGTCGTCCCCACAGGCTCGTCCTCTGCTCCCACGCACCTCGCAAACCAGGGGCCAGAACAGTAGCAATGGACAACTCACTGAAGACAAAGAGAAATAACAACAACAAATCATCGTTTCACAAGCTCACAATTCATTTTAAGCACTGAAGAGACGGTTTCAAAGCTGCTTTATTTAACTTAACTGCTTTTTAGAATTTTTTTATCATTCTCTTGAATCACATAACTTTTAAGTTTTTGTTTATCATTTAAAACTGAAATGTGTAACAAACTACAAATATGACTAAATAAAAAGGACTGAAAGTGTCATACGGGTTCACTGATATTTTATATATTTTCGATTATACTGTTAAGGTTTAAACAGGTAAAATGATGATTCTTTTCCTGCTTTTCACAAATTAATGAAATTAATCCCATTAGTTTTACAGAATAACCTTCTTTGCCTAATGGATGATGACTTCTTTCCTTTTCTTTGAACAATAACATTTTTTTTTGCTTCTCTGGTTCCTACCTGCAAAAAGAATGTGTGAAGCAAAAGTATTAAGGGTAACCAGCGAGGCAGGGAGTATGGTCCCTGTGTGTCCTTCAGGAAATCCCACAAAGGCAGCACCCCACTGGATAGAGGGGAAGGTGGGTAAATGACCTGTAGCGTGGAAGAACTGCGTGGCAGCCAGGGACCAGAGCACTACTGGGGTCCAAGGCACATTAAACCCACCTGAGGGGGGAGAATGAGAAGTCAGTGAGCTGATTAAGACCTGGAACCTGATAGGCTTAAAAATAAATTAATTAAAAGATCCGATGCAAACATCTTACCAGAATACTTTCCATGCAGGCCACTAAGCGTAGTAGACGAGGCGTGAATGTGCAACAGAGCTCCCGTTTCTAGTAGCAGCAGGAGGAAAGACAGAGCCATGCCCTCTGGGTGCAACAGCAGCAGACCAATTCCCAGCAACCCACTAAACAACAGCAAAGGAGCAGAATAGACTGTTCCAAGTCCGTAGGCCTCCACAGCAGGCCTGCTGTCCACTTCGTTGGCCCCGCTCAGGTCGCCATCATCTAGGGAACGACGCATGCGCTGATAGATCTGTGGGATAAGGTGGTGCAGCTCAGCTTGGGGGCTGATGCCAATGCTTGCTCGATAACGGGGTGTGGGTAGAGTCAAACTTTTGGCTGAAGCCTGAGTCCTAGTCTTCACAAACACAGTGAGGGGGTCTAGCCAGATCAGGAAAAGCCCCAGTCCCAGCAGACAGAAGGCGACCCTGGGGAGGGCCAGCTGTGCCAAGTGAATCAGCTCAGCCAGATTCCTGAAGCTGTCCTCCGGAGTGGCGCTAACAGCCCAGTGGAGCCCCAGGCACACAGACAGCAGCGGTAGGATCCAGCGAGCTGTAAACACCGTCCCGCCTGACGAGTTCAGATTACCATAGTGGCAGAGAAAGCATCTTAGCAGATATGTCCACAAGCCAAGGGAAATGACAGCGAGGACATAATGGAGGTTCTTCAGCTGGTTGTCCTGCAACCGGGAAAGAGGGGAAAGAAATGAAGACGGCTGGCAGGAGCCCTGCTCTTCCCGACAGCCGTGGAACGAGAGGGAGAGGTAGAGGCTGCCAACAAGTATTCCTAAGCAGGCTAGAAGGGTGCTGCTTTCCTTCCTCACAGCTGATGGAGACAAAGCTGGGGCAGGCAGCAGCCCAGCAGACTTCAACGGGTCATGGCTTGGGGGCAGAAGTAGGCCATCCCAGTTGAGATGGATGGGAATGCATAGGGCCAGGGATAACACCAAAAATGTCACAACCCGTCCTTCTGCAATCACATAGCTGTCTGAGAGCAGAGAGGCACAACGAAGGAGTGGAAACAAGAGAGAGGGGACAAGGAGGTAATGCAGGGTCAGCCAGCTAACACGCTTTGGAGCTTTGGTTCCGTTTTTTGACACTGTAGAGGTGCTCAGTTGGCGTGAACGCCAAAGGAAAAGGAGTTCAGAGCTGAAAGCAGCAGCTGCAAGGCACCACATCACCTCAATGTAGCCCCGTATGAGCAGCTGAGCAGCAGCCACACTAACCCCCACTGTCAGTGACACAACAACTGGGGCCTTCAGTAATGGACCGTTCTCCCTGATCAGCACTAGAGACAGTTCAGACAAGATGAAACACATCAGACAAGCAAATGCCAGGATGGCTAAGCCTGCCGCCATCTTCAGTGGGTTAAATCGGGCCCAGGTGGCTCGGCAGGTGTCTCTGACAGAGGTGAGGTAAGCCTGCAGAGAAGAGGCTAGCTGCGGGGAGGGTGAACGACCCTCTCTAACAGTGCTGAGAAACTCAGAAGACAAGAGGGCAAATTCACTCTTCAGCCGAGAGAGGCTCTCTGGTGGGATGTCTTTGGCCATGCCAGAGTAAGTCTCCAGGAAACGGTTGACCTTCAGAAACAGAGATAAAATTTAACACACAAACCATAAAAACAACAACTCCTGAAAAGGCTCCAGGATATGTGAATATATAAAAACATTTTTCTGTGTACAGATGCTCGAAAAGTGTTCTAGACGGTTCTTTGATGAGCAGATACCTGTTTTGTGTTGATCCACAGTGCCTCCAGCTGGCTGAGACCTCCAACTGCACCTTGTGTCTGCTCGTGTGGTGGAAATAAAGGCAAGAGAACCTGCCCAACATTACTGTATGGAATAGGAACTCCTAGTAGCAGAGCCAGGGTGGGCACCAGGTCAGTCTGTGGCACCACATCTGGTTCATTCTGGGAAATAAACGGGGGGATTGTGTCACATAACATTATTCTGTGTTCTCATGATCTAAAGTGTGCTTTGACCCTTATCTGTGATATTTTGAAGTAAATATTTTAAGCACATAGCAAAATAACTTGTAGCTGTTCCAAGGCTGGGTTGTCAGTTAAACTCAGTGAGTGATATTTTATCTTGTAGCCTTTCTTAATCAGGGTTGTGCTTGATAACAGCAATATTTCCTAGCAGTGGCAAAATGCCTTGGGGGAAGAAAAAAAAAGTGTCTAAGTTCTGCCTTTTTTTTAAAAAATAGCAGTGTAATTTCTCTCTTGCATCTAATGACTTTCCACGGCACATGATATCGCTCTCCAGTTAGGCTGCAATTATGGAAATCGGTGCTTGAGCTCTCTTTTCTAGTGTGAGATCCACTTTTATCTATGAAAAAAAGGCGGAGACCACCTGCCAGCATCAATTTAATGGATTCTGGGAACTGCACAGCCAAGCGTGAACAGAAATGGGCATGCATCAGTGGTTTAATGCTTTATGTTTTTATTACAGCAGTGATTCTGAGAGATCGACATGTCGCAAATGTGCCTTTGCAGACAGGAGAAAGACAAACACACAAGTAACTGAAAGCAGTTGTGTTAGTTATATATTTGACTTGACTTTGTTCTTCCTTTTTAACTCATTTGTGGACATAACTGATGACGCTGGTCTGAAAAGCAACAAGAGTGAAATGTTCTTACCACTAAGCATGTGACTGCCCATTACTAGGATACAATATGATGAGTGTGCTCTCATAACTTCTTGTTCTGTGCTTAACTCTCACTCTGAATTAAACTGACTTTTACAGCAGTTTTCAGTGGCTCTTTTAGATAGTTAAATTACTGATATAAGCACTGGTCACTATAATATGTATATCAGTGGGAATGATCTAGTGCCTCAAGTAGACGCAAGAGAGGAGCAGACGTTGTACAGATCGGTGCAGTGTCCACAGCAATGCAGATGCTGTACCAGTCTGTTGTCATAAACAGGGGGCTGAACCCTGAATTTACTCATGGATCCTACCATCGTCTATGGGAACAAGCCCTGGGTAGTGACCACAAAAATTACATCAAGACTATAAGAGGCAGAAATGAGCTTCCTCAAAAGGGTGTCTTGGAGATAAGGTTGAAGACCTCTGTCATTTAGGATGGGCTCAGCATAAAGCTTCTACTCCCTGACACCAGAAGGAGCTAAGTGAGACTGTTCAGGCATCTAACTAGGATGCCTCCTGGTAGCTTCCTTGGTTAGGAACTCCTACTGGGAGGAGACCCCATGGTAGGCCCAGGACACGATGAAGATTGTGCGTGTCTGAGCTGGCTCTGGAACACCTCTGTGTCTCACCAGGAGAGCTAGAGAATGAGGCCTAGTCATCTCTGCTTGGATTGCTGCTCTTGCTACCCAGAAAAGCAGCACAAAATGAATTAATGGATCTTGTATACACTTGGGCCAAAACTGTCATTTAGCAATTTCTTTGTTAACGTACAATAGTGATTTGTTTTGATTATGACAGTATGTCTTCAGTGTTAATTTCTTATATTTTATACAAAGTCAAGTGATGTAGAATTGGTTGTGTTTTAAATAAGAATTAATCCTACTGTCATGCTGTGGCTGTTTCAAAAGGTGCATCCTACCCACCTGTGATGGGGGTCCATGAAACATGGGAGAAGGACTGTAGAGGAAGATGGCAGCATCAGTCTCTTTCTGACTTTCTCCACCATGATCTCCAGTATCTGTCATTCCGTGATCTCCCATCACCACCAAGAGTGTGTCATTCTGCAGACGATCAATCACAGACCTAGAGGAAAAGCAGAGTTTTCACAGGTCGTGCCAGGTGCTTTCTAATGCTCAACTGCTTGATCTGGGCCAACAATAACAATAATAGCGCTGGTATCATGACATATCTACAGCACTACAAGTGCACTGTGGCAACAGCTGATGATAAAGCTGCATCTGGATAATGGTGTGAAACAAGCATGTAGCAGCTGTACTACAGCCTGACCTGATGACTCCATCCATCTGTGTGAGTTTGTCAGCCATGGCTGGGTGATCCGGGCCAAACCTGTGACCACAGTGATCGACTCCAAGGAAATGAGCGACTACGACATCCCAGTCATCACCCACCACTATTAAAACCAACAGCAAGAGACAAACGAAAGGAGATGAAACACAAATACATCAACCGCATAAACAAGTTTCCCACCTGTGGGACTAATAAAGATCATCTTAAGTGTTGGTGCAAAATTATTTTGATTTTGCACAGTTTCCTGGCAACAGACGCTATTTGTTAAATGTACGTTTTAATTGCACAACAAATGCATATTAAATAACTACATACTAGTGTTGTAGAGGTGCTGGAGAATCCCGTTATCCACAGTGTGCAGATCCTTGACATTAAAAGAAGGGAAGGGCAGAGAGCGGTAAAACTTCTTAGGAAAAAGACTCTCCCAAGTGTCGTCACCCATAAACACCACTCGTTTGCCTATTGAGAGACAGAAAGATTTATATGAGCAAAATCAGATGGCACAGTTGGTTTTCTGGTTTTTAAAGTCCTAGATTTGTGGTATTGCCAGGCACAAAAGAGCATGTCTACAAATGAGCAGAGAATCATTGATGCTTATATTATTTTACTTTACCCACAGAAACAAAACCAAACACTATTAGTCTGGACTTCTTTAAGTTACTTGAAGACGTTTCACCTCTCATCAAAAGGACAAAAGGACCTGTCCCTCTGTGGGGGGATACTCCCACTAGGTTTATATCTGGGACTCTCCACCATTTGACCTTAGAACTGAAGAAGCTTCTCGGATGAGAGGTGAAACGTCTTCAAGTAACTTAAAGAAGTCCAGACGCTTTTCTTTGCAAGCTCCTTTGACTACGATGACCTGGATGACTGAGAACCTTCACAGACAAACACTATTAGGGTCAAAATTATTAGCCTCCTGATGCTAATAGTTGATTATTTATCCTTTTTGCCAGATAACAGCCTGTGGTCATCTGTTGTAGTTTTCAGCAAAGCTCACAAGTCTTCTGAGCAATCCTAACTGATTCTTCTTTGACAAATCTGTCGAGCTCCTCCAGATTTTATGGTCTCCTGGCATTGACCTTGGGCTTCAATACACACCACAGATTTTTAATGAGATTCAAGTCAGAGTCTTTGTGCAGGTCAGTGATTTTTTATTTACTTCTTCTAGAGCAGGTTGTTCATCAGGAACGATGCATCTTTTGAGATGCTGTCGTGTTGGAAGACAAAGAGATTACCTAGACCCAGTTTTGCTGGCTTCCTAATTTGGTTGAGTCAGTCATGGGTGTCCTGGCAGTTGTTTTGGGGTCTTTAGACACATCACTCACTAGTTTTTTTTCCCCCCAGAGTCTTTAAATCATTTACTTCCTACCTCTGCAAGGCTTGTTCTGTAATCTGCGACTCTCTTCACATTTCACTTAAGTTTTTGACACCAAATAGTCTAAACAATTTTTTTGTTGTTTTTGGCACGATGCTTTCTCAAGTGACGGCCCAGTTGTCATATTGTGTGTAATGTAATATTTAACCCTTAGTTTTACCTTGATTTTACAAGCTTTGACCATTACAAAGTTAAAGCCCATCATTGCACAGCAGTGGTTTGTGCTATGGCTCAATAAAGAAGTCTGTTTTCTGGGAGGCTATAGTTTATAAATGCTTTGCTAAAAATCCCTACATCCCATAACGTTGTCCTCATCTGTATGTTTCCCATAAAGCTCTTTACATGAATGTATTATATTTTTATAATTTACAGACACTTGTAATAACTCACCTGCTTGTCCAAACTGGTGAATAAGATTGTCCTCCAAGATGGCACTGGATGCAAAGTTGTTACCTACATCTACAAACGTCGGCAAAGATCCAGTCGTGAACCCCTTGATCCTCTGCATGGTGGTCGTAGGTGGGTCAGCACGAAAGGGGTACAGGCGGCTTTGTAAAGGCCTGGATGACACGGTCTCTTCCAGCACTGGTAACTTATTCTCATAAGGTCGTGGTGCCGTCTTGTCGGGGTCATACCGGGCGAAGTCGATCTTCAGGGCGTCGATAATGAGAAGGACAACCTTGCGGAAGCGCGGCTGAGCTCGACAGAAGTCCACCGGCTCCTCTCCGGGCTCGAGCACGTCTCCGCAGGTGCTGGTTCTGTTAACCTCCAACCTAACCAGCAAAAATCCACCCACGAACAGGTAGATGCCCACGAAGAACACCGCACACATCCAGAGGAGCAGGGACAGCACAGGCAGCCCCTTCATCCTACATGCACAGGTAAGAGCAGGTCAGGTGAAAGACAGGAACATTTGGTTTACATAGAGGTAACAAACACACAAAAATGAGAGGAACAGCTGCCTGTGAGCTACACCTGTTATAGAAGAAAATAATTCCGGTAACGTGTAAGGTGACTGAAATTTTAAGCTCCAACTAAAACCTCTTTTGCAGTTAAGCCGCACAGGTGGCTAACATGAATGACGGTTAAGTTAACGCTGTTAGCAGAAGCTAGCTCGCTTTGCCTTTTGTCACTGACCTTGTGTGGCAGCTAGTTTTCGTCCTCTCCCGGCCGGACGTTGGGGGTGACTGTGTGTATTAACAACACAGGAGCACAGGTGCCTCAGGTAAACAGAGAGCGGAGCAACACGCTCACCTTCATTGGGACTCCGGTACAATGAGAGTAGATGACTGGTGGATGATAGGAACCTTAGCGTGGAAAGAGCACGGCGGGCGCTTTTCTGTGTAACACCATGAATACGTTTGCGTTGCCCCGCTCTGTGACTTACAGGACCTCCTATATACGGAACAACGGCTTTAGCGCGTCTCTGAAAATCGCTAAACACGTCAGAAATTCTGCAGAGAAACCACCCTTAAAAGAGAATGGACTAGAAATAAGTTTTGTAAAAGTTATTATAAAATATCAATAATGGTCACAAACATTTTAATTTAATGATATTTCATAGCTTTGTCTACT